TGGGAAAATCCTACGGCTGATTTTCTTAGTCGTAAAACACCTATATATAGTGTACTACAGTCTACTTCCTTTAAATGTGGATATTTCACAAGCCCACCATAAAGAAAACTGAGCACTCCCGAGTATGAGTTTTTCGTAGGAAGTCATAGTTGGCTCAGTACTGCAGTACTGTGGAGTTATCGTCCATTCGGTGAACTGATATGGTCGGATTTGAAATGAAAACGTTCAACACAGTCTTTTTCGACTCTTAGTACTCAGCAATGAATGGGTGGATTATTGAAACAGGCGCAAGAAGCACGACACTACGATGCTAATACAAAGTCGCTGATAGCTTAAGTTGACTTTGCCATCCTTTTTTTATATGGCACTCCTGTATTTTCCTGCCCCTTTGCATTCAACCAGTCGATCAGGAATACTTCGTGTCATCGGGTACATAATTTTTGCTACCGAACCTGAAATTCACAATCGCAATCCTGGTAACTCACTTATGAGGTAAAGACTGAATTACAATCTAGTTGCATGACTAAGATGTTGATCTTTCAGAATGAGCATTCAAATGGCAGTTGTCAAAATTACCTCGAAGGTCAATTATCTCAAAGATCTTCAGGGAACATAAGCATTAAGCATATTCGTTGCAGGCCTCCCACCAGACTCCAACGATCTCTAGATAAGTTTTTTCCATCTGGCGATTTTTATCGGTTCAAGAACACTGTTCTGTTTATGAAGACTAGAATTAATGCAGTACTGATTCGCAAAGTATTTACACATTCCGTCTTCAGGAGCACAACAAGGCGCATCTTTCAAGAAGCGCCAAAGAACGCCCTCGTAATAGTGTGAGGTATATAACCACCGATGACTTCAATTTGCATCCATTTCTCCTAACAAGAAGCGCCTTGACCGATATTAGGCCGCCTGAAATACTGAATACAATCCATCTGTTTCCTTTCTGAGCTTCATTCTTATATTCTGTTTTCCGTTCGCACTGAGACCGCTTTAGCTTAACATCAAGCTCTCCTCGCTCTGTCGTTTTGCTGCAATTAACATGCCATATGGCATATGTTTCATAGTCATCTACACTATGTGAATATCGAAACAACTATTTGACAGATTGTGTGAGCTTTAAATAATGTGTATTTTGGAGGCCTTGTGAGGAGTTTTACATTGTGACCAAATGGGAAATTTCACCTGATAATAATTCCACTATTCTTTTTGTTCATAATGTTTACCTGACCTTCATTCTCTACCAATACGCCTGCCATCTCCTAGGAAACACACGTCAACCTTCAGAATAAATCACAAAAGCTAAAAGCGAATAATAGAGCGTTTCATTCTGAATCGCTGTACCATCATTTGGCAGGTACACTTGCAGAAAAGACTAAATTCCCATTCCTTGAATTTTTCAGAAGTCTTTTGAAGGTCTTACTTTGACTTTCACATTCTTATTATTGCACCAGCATTTCTCATCACCTTAACATGGGTGGTATATTTAACTTTCCTCATTTCCCGGTTAAGTGCTTAAATTGAGTCTCTTTTCTCCACTCATTATGCTGCCAACGGGTGTTGGCAACTTCTTGGGCCAATCATGATGCAGAAGTTTTGGACAGAAAATATCATAACTCTGCTGACAATGAATTTAAATGTTGATTTCCACGAGAGCTGCTTAATATCACTACTACAGTTATCAAGTTCACCTTTAGCAGAGTACCCACTAAAACTTTTACACACTGCACCATATCATCAATAAAGCCCTTCAGCTCTTACTATCCTCAAGTTATGACATGAAATTTTTTCACATGTGAGTTTCTAGTATGTCCATAACCAAATCATTAGGAGAACAGTTTCTAAATGACAGACAAGAAGACTGGCCCTGTCAATAAAACTTCTATGCGACTTCTGAATATTAAAATAGAATTAAGTGAAGAGAAGTTCGATTTTAATATCTAGTGTGGAAACTCGGTCACAGTGGCTGGAAAAATAGCTCATTGGGGGTTTACCAAAATGCACGCCTCGAATTTTAATGATCTCGAATCCTTGTTGATGAAAGTGCAACTATAAGCTCAATAAAAATGCTCACAGTCTCTTTTACAAGAGTACTGACCAGGATAATCTCGAAGGCACAGAATATTAGGACGTTATCGTTTTATATTCTGCAATGTCTTGGTTACACTGATAAGGACCACTGTTATGTATGAGCTGCTAATCGATATAACGTAAGTAACTCGACTGGTGCTATAGTACGCCTGCTTGTCTGTTGTGCCTTCTCCTTGATTGAGCCGAGCAAATATCAAAAGACAGAGGCTGGCCTGAGACTGTAAGATGCTGTGCATTTGGTAAAGAAACTACACATGATATTTATACTTTTTTACCACATCAAAGCCAGCCCACAGCCTTGAGAAATGATTGACCACACAAGTAACAACATGCATGAGAAAGGAAGATATGCTATTTCATGCGGGGTCCCAACAACCACCGAGCTATTAACAGACGCAGTTATCGCCAGTACTGCTTGTCATTCATCAGCTTTAATAAACGCTCACTTGATTTCGCAGCTTAGCAATTGAGCGAGAACAAAACGACAGAGAGATGGAAAAGTATATTTACACAGGGAAACAAAAGTATACTTATGTATAAGTACATACGTATATACCGGAAACATAGAATGACTACACAGGCTGATAATCTGGGTGTTAAAAAGAACAAATCCACTGGTTATATGCCCATCTGTGAGACCTATGAATGATCCAATTTCCATACAAGTCATTGGTTCATATATCATTCGTTAGTACAACGTCGCGGGTAAAACATGACACCGTCTTGTTTCTGGCAAACAGCATGATCCACAGAGGAGGCAGGTTTACTGGCTACTTAAAGGATACTGTATCAGCACCATGTGAAAAGACCACACACGTTAGTTAATCACCAGAACTCATGTCCTTCATGTGGAACTGTAACGGTCAAAATATCTGTTCGACAATGAAAATGTAGGTCTTCGGGGCACGGAAGGTGGATTTCTTATAGAGAACCTAGGCGGGTGTGTGGTTTTAAAACAATGATAGTTGACTGGGGTAACCAACTGATGAATCACCATAATGTATCTTTAACCATAAGCTGGCAGCATCCTGCACTGTATATGGCCAATTTCAGTATACTGTGATTCCCAGCAATAACCAAGCCCTTCGAGCCTGATTCCAACACATAGATGGAGAAATAATTTTTCGAAGGACCTTCTATACCCTCATGAGTAGTTTTACTAAGCCAAGTTTTTAGTTCACTGCTTTCGCAGCAAATAGGGCCAGATTACTGTTCGGACTCAATAGGTAGCAGGTTAACGCATGAACCGCCTATATGCGGCCTCATGGAGAGGACTGAATCATAGACCCGTTACCCCTCGAGGAAGCTGACTAGGCGTTTTCAAGCAAGTGTATAATTGGATAACTCAGTTTTCGATACTGTGAACTTTTCCTAAGGCAAATCAACGTCGCCTTTAACGAGTATACGGAGATTTATGATGTGGCATGATAGAGAATGAGTCTTAGAATGAATTCGTCATTGTCAGTATTCAGTACATTGCTTCTGAATATATGGCATTTCGTCAGTCAAAAATGAAAGCACCCGACTTCAGATACAACGAGGCACCCTAAAGTTTACTTCCATATTAATCTAAGAAACGGCTTACTATGGAATTTATATATATATTAATCAACTTGGAATAAGAACTTCTAGAACGCGTGTAATTACATGTTGCTGTGATAGTCACTTCCGTCTAACTGAATGAAGCATGTAATGTTCTAAATGAAATGCTTACCTGATCATCTTTGATGCACCACAGTCAATAACAGTTAACTGTCGAGGATCGCCTGAAAAAGCAAACTGTTACCCACCAAATGCCAAGCTTTTCAGAGGAAAACCTCTTCCGACAGAATGTTATTAGGTAAGGTTAAGTTTAGAGACAACAAGAAACTTAATGACGTTTCTATTAATTCTAGCAAGACATTTTATGAAGTAACTCATATCAGGCTGTGCACGGAAAAGGAAATTTAAAAAAACAGACAGCCTTAAATCAAAGAGTCCCTCGGGAGAAAGAGGTGGATTTTACGGATCAGCTGCAAAATGCCATCACGGACCAAGTCAAAGTGAGGTGTGCCTTAGAGTATCTCACCGTAAGGCTCATATCATGTTTTCTGTTTACTGACTTATTTATTGACCAGAGTCACCAAATTTACCATCGTTATCTGCCTCCACAACTCAAAAGCTTTCGGAGAGCTTGTGGACAATTATCACTTGTTCACAATGCAAACAGACTGTGCCTCTTCTCTCAGAGAGACAATGACTTAGTATTCAGAGCAAGCTGCTACTAAAGAATGCGTGAACGTTTTCTCTCAGATACAGCTGGTGTAGTCAAAGTATTTGGGCAGTACCTAGGACAAACGATGACATATGAGTAACTCTACAGGGGCCAAGCTAGAAAGGGCATCCAGGTGGTCGTCTCTTGCGCCAAAGGATGATTTACATAATTCATGGTACAACAGATATATCACGCGAAAACCAGTTATAGGGAGGGATTTTTGTGTAAGGACACATAATTAAAATGTTCATTATCACGATAAATGACTCCACCTACTTTCTCACAAGTTGGAAACATCCTGGGGAACACGTTTGAATTGTTGAAATGAAAAGGAAGAATTTAAAAGCTGAGGGCCAATTATTATACCAAAGAGATAATGATACATGTTAGATGGACTGGTATCAAAAGCCTTATATAGGTGAGACATAGGCGACAGAAGATGAGAGGAAGATTATTTATTAGCCTCAAGAATTCCGAAAAAGATTTCAGCGTAATTCTGGATATATTCGAGGATTACTATCAAAAGAAACCTGTTTAACATGACTCTGGGAGTGAGATGGTGACAATTCCAGGTACTTTTTACAAATATATATTTTTACAAATTCCAGGTACTGTTAAAAATTTTGAGTCTTGATAGCAGCAATAAATGATATAACTAAATTCTACATTTCCTCATTGAGCATTCAGTCATCCATTGAACGTTTAATGACTAGCTTGTTTGAGTTTACATTCCTCGTGATAGTTCAGTTTCAATTTTCGTCAACATGCGTGCGTCCGGTGATGTAAGTGGCAGGTATCTCTTTAATATTTTACTTGTATAGTTGAAACTTTTCGCGGTTGTTGGACGCAAACTCCCAACTGATAAGGAACCTAAACCTGTTCCCTACAGAATGCGCATATTCGCGCCCAACTCCGTCGTCGCAAAGTCACGATTCTGGTATTTCATAAGAAAGCTGAAAAAAATGAAGAAGGGTAGTGGAGAAATTGTTTCTTGCCAAAGGGTAAGTTAACGAACAGAGATCTTTCATATCAACTTAACCTTGTGACTACAAAATAATGAAATTGCTGAACAGTCTTTAAAATAATTAGCACCGACCAGCTAGTGGTAATAGAGAATCGTGTAAAAACTAACTGTCAGGTCTGGAAATGCTAGAAGCTTCGTAAATCTGTTGCAATACAAAAATGCTTAACTGTAGACCTACGGAGGTATTATTCACACTGCATAAGTATGAACAGGGGCATCGAAATTCGAAGTGAAGAACGTTTTTCAGTGAGGTAAAAACAATCCCTGTAACATGAGACCAAGGCCCACAACAAGATTGAATAACGCATTTGATCGAGATCAGCCATAATAAAAGAAATTTATAACACCGAAAGATTCATATAATCATTGATCTCTGCTCAATAAAAATTCTTACTCAATCCCTTATATTGCACCATTACCGGCTGGAATTGTGTTCCAGCTAATACTGGTGCGTACATTCGAGCTGACTGTTACTAAGGTACAGTATGGTCAGCGACATATACTTTCAAATGTTGAATAGAATTACTTCCTTTGCTTCTGTGTACCACGGACTTAGTGTGATTTTTTGTTCTTGTTGGAACTGAGTCATACACATTGTTGAGAGTAGGACTGACGATATTGTGTAGTCACACAGACTAGGGAGGGTGGAGTGGGATCCGGATCCGAGGCCTGTTGACCGAAACTTGGGTGTTTCAGCCGATGAGCTACATCTCAGCTGGACACCAAGGAAATGGGCACACTTCAGGTAGTATTTGGAGAGACGTCTTTCCTATGGCCTGTAGTTGCAAGTCTTGTTCCCACCCGATTCGATTGCCCCTTATGTATCGTTGGATTGGTTATTCAATGTGAGATAAGTGATTGTTAAGCAGTTTATTTCAAGTTGACAGGTGCGCTGAGGAAGTGCTAGTTTTGCCTTGTGAAATATCAGTATGTAGTTTGCTTATTGTGGTGTGTGATTTCGTGTAGCGATTGCACCTTTACCGGCTTAGGCATTTGTCTGAGCTAAATGTGGTGCATAAAGTGAAGCTGAGAGATGATTATTTACGCTCAACAGCTATAATTGCATTTGACGTGTTTTTCTTGTGTTAATGTCTATGTTGAAAATTATTTCCGCCACAGATACATCCACGAAAGCCATTGATGGTTAAGAATTTCGGTATTTGGCTGAGATACGATAGTCGATCAGGCACACACAACATGTACAAGGAATACCGTGATCTAACTGAGGAGGGTGCAGTAACCCAATTGTATCGTGAGATGGGTGCTCGTCATCGTGCCCGAGCTGAAGCTATTCAGGTGATTAAAGTGGAGTCGTTGCCAGCCTCCAAGTGTCGTCGCCCGTATGTCACACAGTTCCACGATAGTAAATTGAAATTCCCTCTACCTCATCGCGTGGCACGTCCTCTCCACCACCCGAGATTTACTACGAGAAGGCCTACAACAGTCTTTTAATTTTTCAATAAATTTGAAAGGTTATTTACGATTGTTCTACTTCTTTGGGAGACAGTATGTCCTATCATGTGGGTGGGGCTGCCACTTATTTTCTCATTTCGATGGACGCGTGTTAGATTAGGTGACATGGTTTAGGAGAGATTCGGTTCCTCACTGTTCGTTACATGCATGCATATATATATATATGTACATGATGATGACAGTGTATCGACTTGATATCATTACTGATCGTGATCTTTCTTAAGTTGTGACGATGTACTGAGTAAACGAGATCCGCTGACCTGGACAGAATTTTTGCGTTTAATTGTAATGACTAGTGATTGGTCAGGTCACTGGTGGTGTTGAGGCTTTAAGGGGTGTGATGTGGGAGATGTGAGTGTATCGAAGCAGATATTTGACGGTGTGTTCACTGTCCACATATTGTGAGCGAGTGTGTGAGTCATACTGAGTGCAGAGGATTGATAATCAAGCGGCAGTCGATAAGTAGTAGTATAATGTAAGTGACCCTTGTGTGTTGGACTGACTGACATCCGACCTATATGCGTTAAACGCGATTTCTGTTGTCGTTTTGTTAGGCTTTTGGGTATATTGATGCATTGCTGAATAATCATGATAAAACAGAAAAGGATGGCTGAGTAGGTTCAGAGCTGCAGTTTGATATATATATATATATATATATGCTTTTGTACGTATTCGAGCGATAACCACGGTGATCCTGAATAGTTAAGATGCAATTCGGTCGTGTACGTTCCGAATGAAATGCATTGTAGAATGCAATTCAATTTTCAGCTGAAATAATTCTCCCCTGTGTTGGTCGAGAGTGTCCAGTTGATTGTGTTTAGCCTGTTGATCTTTGTCTTGCAACTATCCTGTAGGTTCGACTGAATGCCAGTCTGGCAGTGTTTAATCGTGAGCAGGGAACATAACAGTCGTGTTTCATATTCCTCCCTTTGAGAATCAGTGAGTTTTATAGAATTATGTCACTTGTTAAACTGGGGGTTATGATGGTTATTGTATTTAGCAGTTGAAGTCACCAGTTTGGTTGAATTGATTGGTTGGTCGGAGATATATTTAGTAGAGTGATGGGAAGACAGCTGATGAGTTTTAAAATACACGAGTTAGAATAAGGTTTGAACTGTGTTAGGTGAAACGTGTGTGTTGTTTGCATTTCAGTGTATTCAACTAATTCCTAGTTTTGTTGAATTGATTGTGAAGTTCAGTGGGAGTGTGAATTGAGCAGTGCAATAGCTTAGTTATTCATTTTGATTATAACACGAACGACTTCCTGAAACTTGCTGTCTTACTTGAAGTCCTAAACTGTAACTGTTTCTTTTGAGAGTAATTTTCTACTGCTGCACCATTACCGACTGGAATTGTGTTCCAGCTAATACTGGTGCGTACATTCGAGCTGACAGTTACTAAGGTACAGTATGGTCAGCGACATATACTTTCAAATGCTGAATAGAATGACTTCCTTTGCTTCTGTGTACCACGGACTTAGTGTGATTTTTTGTTCTTGTTGGAACTAAGTCATACACATTGTTGAGAGTAGGACTGACGATATTGTGTAGTCACACAGACTAGGGAGGGTGGAGTGGGATCCGGATCCGAGGCCTGTTGACCGAAACTTGGGTGTTTCAGCCGATGAGCTACATCTCAGCTGGACACCAAGGAAATGGGCACACTTCAGGTAGTATTTGGAGAGACGTCTTTCCTATGGCCTGTAGTTGCAAGTCTTGTTCCCACCCGATTCGATTGCCCCTTATGTATAGTTGGATTGGTTATTCAATGTGAGATAAGTGATTGTTAAGCAGTTTATTTCAAGTTGACAGGTGCGCTGAAGAAGTGCTAGTTTTGCCTTGTGAAATATCAGTATGTAGTTTGCTTATTGTGGTGTGTGATTTCGTGTAGCGATTGCACCTTTACCGGCTTAGGCATTTGTCTGAGCTAAATGTGGTGCATAAAGTGAAGCTGAGAGATGATTATTTACGCTCAACAGCTATAATTGCATTTGACGTGTTTTTCTTGTGTTAATGTCTATGTTGAAAATTATTTCCGCCACAGATACATCCACGAAAGCCATTGATGGTTAAGAATTTCGGTATTTGGCTGAGATACGATAGTCGATCAGGCACACACAACATGTACAAGGAATACCGTGATCTAACTGAGGAGGGTGCAGTAACCCAATTGTATCGTGAGATGGGTGCTCGTCATCGTGCCCGAGCTGAAGCTATTCAGGTGATTAAAGTGGAGTCGTTGCCAGCCTCCAAGTGTCGTCGCCCGTATGTCACACAGTTCCACGATAGTAAATTGAAATTCCCTCTACCTCATCGCGTGGCACGTCCTCTCCACCACCCGAGATTTACTACGAGAAGGCCTACAACAGTCTTTTAATTTTTCAATAAATTTGAAAGGTTATTTACGATTGTTCTACTTCTTTGGGAGACAGTATGTCCTATCATGTGGGTGGGGCTGCCACTTATTTTCTCATTTCGATGGACGCGTGTTAGATTAGGTGACATGGTTTAGGAGAGATTCGGTTCCTCACTGTTCGTTACATGCATGCATATATATATATATATATGTACATGATGATGACAGTGTATCGACTTGATATCATTACTGATCGTGATCTTTCTTAAGTTGTGACGATGTACTGAGTAAACGAGATCCGCTGACCTGGACAGAATTTTCGCGTTTAATTGTAATGACTAGTGATTGGTCAGGTCACTGGTGGTGTTGAGGCTTTAAGGGGTGCGATGTGGGAGATGTGAGTGTATCGAAGCAGATATTTGACGGTGTGTTCACTGTCCACATATTGTGAGCGAGTGTGTGAGTCATACTGAGTGCAGAGGATTGATAATCAAGCGGCAGTTGATAATTAGTAGTATAATGTAAGTGACCCTTGTGTGTTGGACTGACTGACATCCGACCTATATGCGTTAAACGCGATTTCTGTTGTCGTTTTGTTAGGCTTTTGGGTATATTGATGCATTGCTGAATAATCATGATAAAACAGAAAAGGATGGCTGAGTAGGTTCAGAGCTGCAGTTTGATATATATATATATATATATGCTTTTGTACGTATTCGAGCGATAACCACGGTGATCCTGAATAGTTAAGATGCAATTCGGTCGTGTACGTTCCGAATGAAATGCATTGTAGAATCGAATTCAATTTTCAGCTGAAATAATTTTCCCCTGTGTTGGTCGAGAGTGTCCAGTCGATTGTGTTTAGCCTATTGATCTTTGTCTTGCAACTATCCTGTAGGTTCGACTGAATGCCAGTCTGGCAGTGTTTAATCGTGAGCAGGGAACATAACAGTCGTGTTTCATATTCCTCCCTTTGAGAATCAGTGAGTTTTATAGAATTATGTCACTTGTTAAACTGGGGGTTATGATGGTTATTGTATTTAGCAGTTGAAGTCACCAGTTTGGTTGAATTGATTGGTTGGTCGGAGATATATTTAGTAGAGTGATGGGAAGACAGCTGATGAGTTTTAAAATACACGAGTTAGAATAAGGTTTGAACTGTGTTAGGTGAAACGTGTGTGTTGTTTGCATTTCAGTGTATTCAACTAATTCCTAGTTTTGTTGAATTGATTGTGAAGTTCAGTGGGAGTGTGAATTGAGCAGTGCAATAGCTTAGTTATTCATTTTGATTATAACACGAACGACTTCCTGAAACTTGCTGTCTTACTTGAAGTCCTAAACTGTAACTGTTTCTTTTGAGAGTAATTTTCTACTGCTGCACCATTACCGACTGGAATTGTGTTCCAGCTAATACTGGTGCGTACATTCGAGCTGACTGTTACTAAGGTACAGTATGGTCAGCGACATATACTTTCAAATGCTGAATAGAATTACTTCCTTTGCTTCTGTGTACCACGGACTTAGTGTGATTTTTTGTTCTTGTTGGAACTGAGTCACACACATTGTTGAGAGTAGGACTGACGATATTGTGTAGTCACACAGACTAGGGAGGGTGGAGTGGGATCCGGATCCGAGGCCTGTTGACCGAAATTTGGGTGTTTCAGCTGATGAGCTACATCTCAGCTGGACACCAAGGAAATGGGCACACTTCAGGTAGTATTTGGAGAGACGTCTTTCCTATGGCCTGTAGTTGCAAGTCTAGTTCTCACCCGATTCGATTGCCCCTTATGTATCGTTGGATTGGTTATTCAATGTGAGATAAGTGATTGTTAAGCAGTTTATTTCAAGTTGACAGGTGCGCTGAGGAAGTGCTAGTTTTGCCTTGTGAAATATCAGTATGTAGTTTGCTTATTGTGGTGTGTGATTTTGTGTAGCGATTGCACCTTTACCGGCTTAGGCATTTGTCTGAGCTAAATGTGGTGCATAAAGTGAAGCTGAGAGATGATTATTTACGCTCAACAGCTATAATTGCATTTGATGTGTTTTTCTTGTGTTAATGTCTATGTTGAAAATTATTTCCGCCACAGATACATCCACGAAAGCCATTGATGGTTAAGAATTTCGGTATTTGGCTGAGATACGATAGTCGATCAGGCACACACAACATGTACAAGGAATACCGTGATCTAACTGAGGAGGGTGCAGTAACCCAATTGTATCGTGAGATGGGTGCTCGTCATCGTGCCCGAGCTGAAGCTATTCAGGTGATTAAAGTGGAGTCGTTGCCAGCCTCCAAGTGTCGTCGCCCGTATGTCACACAGTTCCACGATAGTAAATTGAAATTCCCTCTACCTCATCGCGTGGCACGTCCTCTCCACCACCCGAGATTTACTACGAGAAGGCCTACAACAGTCTTTTAATTTTTCAATAAATTTGAAAGGTTATTTACGATTGTTCTACTTCTTTGGGAGACAGTATGTCCTATCATGTGGGTGGGGCTGCCACTTATTTTCTCATTTCGATGGACGCGTGTTAGATTAGGTGACATGGTTTAGGAGAGATTCGGTTCCTCACTGTTCGTTACATGCATGCATATATATATATATATATGTACATGATGATGACAGTGTATCGACTTGATATCATTA